TGATCTCTCGCTTTATTTTATTTATATATATATATATATATATATATATATATATATAAATGTTTGGTTGAAGAGCAATGTGTTAATAGCAGTACAAGCCACTGTTTTTAAAATTACCCTTTGCTCAAGAGAGCTCAACTGGAGATGTTGTTTACTTTATGCAACAATTATTTTCCATCATAATCTCCTTAATTGTTAATGCACTTAACCCAACATTACTCTATTAATCATATAGATTAAACATACATTAAAAAATTTAGATCAGAATTATGCTAACTTAATGGTAGGCTACAGTCTTATTGATCCATCTTTGTATTGTGTACATTTCTTATTTTATTAATTTTTATAATTTTTTGCTCATGACCACATCCCATTGAAACATTGGTTCTCATATGATCAAAGATAAGCAGTGTCGAGCCTGATCAGTATGAATGAATTACAAACATTGGGTCTGCTTATTTTTATCATAATCCTTTCATATTCAGAAATATTTTTCTGTATATTACAATATATAATTGTAATATATGGAAAAATATTTGAATATGAAAGGCTTATGATAAAAATAAGCAGACATAATGTTTAATTTTTTTCAATCACATATGTCGAAAAGAAAATTTGTTGCCTAAATACACATACATATGTATAAATTAAAATTCACTCATAACCTTTGAAAATCAAATATCGGTGACTTAAAAAGTATGTTTTGGTAGACTTACCTTCGTTCTCTATTGTATATCTACACACATAGACAGAATCATTTGTGCATATAATGCATTTTTATATAATTTGGTAATGCTTGTGTATTTGTGTACATTAATTATATTTAGTGCATATTGATATATCTATGTTCAGTTATGACATTTAAGTAAATTGAAATGAAAGAATCACTTGATGCCAAAAACAAAAAAATTACTTTTTGGAAATTCTGTAATTTAATTAGTATCTAAGATCTGATATGTAGGTCAAAGTTTAAAATTCTTTTGGTAGGTGGTGGTGGGGGACATCATTTTGCAGGAGAGAATACTTGGAATAGAGCATGTAGCTGCTGTTCTGATCTGTTTTTGTTTTTTCTTTCTTTCTTTGAATTATTTTTAAGGCTCCAGGAAGACTAATTACATAAGGCCCATTTTATGCAAGGAAGAAAATTCAGTGGTGAAATTTAAATTAACATCTTAAGATTAATTTAAGAAAAAGAAATCCCCCATCTATTTTACTCATTTTAGCTATTGGTATAATAAATATAATTATTCTTAGTAGCCAATGGGATGCATTATGTTGGAGTGAATGGTAAATGAGATATGGCATTTGTCATTTGGTAAATTAGAATACAAGTGATTTGTGTGCCATTAAAATATCATGAACTACTGCTTAGACACAAAATGTCAGGAAAAAAGAAATTTTAATCATCCTCGGGTTATGCAATGTGTGCTATCATGCAAAATTAATTTCAGTTATCTTGAGCTGAAAAGTCAAAATGAAATTTGCACTTTGGAAAATTTTCAAAATATTCATTTTTTTTTTTGTGTTTTATTGCACTATTCCTGCTTTGAGTACCTTCTGACTATTAGAGTAAGCAGTAAAAGAACAGAAAAAAGGCTTCCAACAATACTTTTTCATAAAATTTAAAACTTTGGTTAATGGTTTCATTTTAATTTTTTTTTTTTTTTTTTTTAACAGTTGTTTTCTTTTCATCACAACATTCAATATTGAAGTATTGAATGTTGTGATGAAAAGCAAACAATTGAAAAAAAATCATAATGTAAATAAGTCATCTAAGACTAGCAATAGTTGTAAATAAATATTGTTGAATATTGATAAAAAAAAAGATTGGTGTCTATAGGAAAAGTATAACGTGTATTCTGCTCATGTTGTTACTATCTACTCTAACTTTATCATTATGTAAGCAATATGAGATCTATTTAATATTTGAACAGATAGCTATTTAGAAATACTGAATGCTGTGAGCAGAAATCCCGTTTATCCAGAAAGTTAAATAACATTCTGCATAGATATTCAGAGACCAGAATAACCATGTACTTATGAATTTTGCAAATAAAAATGTTACCTTTCTGGAGAACATCCTGTTGTAGTGTTGCATAAAACATTGAATTGTTGCCATAATTTTACTATGTCATAAGCACGTGTTCTTTGATGATCACTCAGTGTTATAAATATAACATATTAATGAAGTTATTTGTATAGAATGAATTGTTTGAATTCCCTCCCCTATTGAAATAAATACACTTTCATGTATGTCACCTCTAGCTAAATGTTTGATTTTTGTCATGATCTTAAGGTAGCTGCAAAAACTCCAAATATGGTTGAAGATTTACTGGATTTTTTTTTTTTTTTTAGTAGAGATAAAAATTTCAATTTCAATTTTTTACTTTGTTTATTTAAAAAAAAATGCCAAAACTCAGTTTTTATCTAATCTGTGAGGATTGCTGACAATGATGACCTTGAATTTCATTTTTTTAATATAAATGTCATTTTTGCTGAATATTTCTGAAATGAGTTAGATATGTTTTTTATTCTTTATTAGTTGTGACTAACTTCACTATTTTTGCTAGATTATTAGAAGTAAAGGCCTACACTGTATAAATTAGTATAAAAATAGAAAGAATTGTGTAATTAACAAAAAGAAAAAAATTATAATCAGAATTAACATTTGATGACAACTGTATTTATGTTTGAACATAAATTATTCCAATCAAGTCCTACTATAGTACCCCTTGAATTAAATTATAGACCAATAAAATCACAGCTCACAAATAATCCATCAGAATTTATATTTTTTCCTTTGATTTATATCAGTCTAATATTAATTTTTTTAAAATCCAATTTTAGTTGTATACAGGTTAATTATTTACATCAAACTTTAACATATTTTGCTTGATGTCATTTGTATGAATGGAACAGTGAGACATGAGTTAATTTTGTATTCAAATAGTCAGTTGGCCTGAGCTCAGTTTTCAATTTCTCTTTACTTTCAAGTGAATAAATAAGGTATTAGAATTTTCCCTTTGTGATAACAGCTTTCACTTTATATTTTGACATAGAGCTTTGCAATTATCATATAAGGCAATTTTTGAGGGTTTTTTTTTTTTTTTTATTTAAGATTTTCTGAGTTCACTTTTACTAACAAAGAACTAGAAAATAATTTGGAAGTAAAATAGATTTTTAGAATCATTTCAAAATATTTTATCTTAAGGAAAAAAATATTCTTTTTTCTTTTTTTTTTTTTTTTTTTTTTTTTTTTTTTTTTTTTTGTAAATAAGGCACAAAAAAATATAATTATTGTATGATAATTTGGTAATCAGGATTTTATGACTGAGCTCAAATGAATAATTTTACAGACCATGTAGCTAAACTTCTTGCAAAAGCAATATTCTGTGGCCAAATATTTTAAAAATGAATACACAAAATAAAAAGAAGTGAATTTAAAAAAAATTTTTTTTTTTACTAACTCTAAGAGATACAATCAAGCTGCAGGCAGAAAATTAATAGGAAACATGTTAATGGAAAATGAAATTTCTTTAAATTTTTTTGTAGTAACCAAAGATATTCCAGAATTTTAAATTAAGAAACCCTCAAAGCCTCTGTTTAATTAATATGGTCCATTATCTTGCAGTATCTTGCAAATGTTTGGAAACCCACTCAGAAATTCATGAAAATAAGGTGGTGTTTTTTTTGTTTTTTTTTTTGCTTTTTTAACAATTTTTAAAACTTAATATAAGAAATATTAACATAAATTGAAAAGCATTTTTTTTTCTTTTAATCACATTATAGCCTTGATTCTTGGAGGCATTGATACCCCAAAATTATCATTGACTTTCATCCAAATTGTCTTATTTCTTTCAGATGATTTGTGGGTGTAATTTTTTTTTGTTTAATCTTTTCATGATATTCTATAAATTCTGTATCTTTTTGTTTTTAATCCATTCACCCCAAGCAAGATGATGATGCCATTAGGCTGCATGGTGTTACAGGGAGTGAAAGAAAATGAAAAGACTTTACTGAGGAAAAGGATAATAAAGAAACGGGTTTCTGGAAAACAATAGATGGCAATTGATGTTGCATTTAAATTTTTGAAGATTTTAGTTTTCAGGGAAGCAAGAAATCTGAAGGGAATTCCACAGGTGAAGAAAAGAAACTTATTAGAATAGAACTGTTGGTTGCATCTAGATAGCTCAACAATAAAATGATGAGACCTAGTTGCCATTCTAGTAGCAACGCTCAACGTGAATGTGATCCTGGCAACAAGAATTCAGGTGGTTGGAATGTCGAACTGAACCCTTGACTTCCGTTCACTGGGGTATACTGTTCTAGTTCCACGTGCCATGTTTATCAGTTATCTCCTGTTAATTTTTCCTCTCAAACTTAACTGGGTATTGAATTCACACTCTTTGGGTCCTGTCACTAGATCTAACCAACGCTTTTATCCACTGTGCCATGTGTCCTTGAGGACATCTCGGTATGAATTTCTGTGTATTATAAACCTAATGTCTTCAGCAACCATTTTTATTTATTTTTTTTTTTTTTTTTATTTTTTTTTTCATATTGCAATTTTTGCTGTTATCATTGCATGTTTTTACCAGAGCTCATATAGCAACTTTTTGTTGCTATCATTGCTTTTCTCTGGCACTCCTTATTACTGGTTCCCATATTGTATTTATTTCTATGCTTGGACGGCTCAGGAGATTTTTGTGGTCTAGCATATGTGCTGAATAACATTGAAACGTGATAAATATGGCGACAAAGATGAGAACAATAGTCCGAATAATGTAAATAATGTACATAATACATCATCTCAGAAATATAGACAGAATCTATTGTGAAGCTTTCCTTTTTTTCATTAGCAAATCATCAATTTAACTCAAACTATTTACCGAAATTATTTGCATCCTGCAGTTTACTCATCTAGCTAGTTATAATTTCCCATTTTTCTAAGACATGAGCTTTAATTCATGCTCAGAATTTAATCACAAACTTCTTGCTTTATGGTCTCTGCTTATGATAAGCTTTATTCACTAATACATGTAAAGTTGACATAGGCAATTGATCAGAGAAAATACTTGATTAGCAGTTTCTGTTCCCACTTCCTTTCAATAATCTTGTTACATTAGATGCTTATCTTGGAAACTATCCAGAGCTAGAAACATTTAATGTAAGTCTCATTAGTATACATTACTCTATAGGAGTAAATAGTCTTTCTGTCTCTCTCTGTTGCTACCTCTTTCTGTCTCTCTCTCTCTGTTGCTACCTCTTTCTGTCTCTCTCTCTGTTGCTAACTCTTTCTGTCTCTCTCTCTGTTGCTACCTCTTTCTGTCTCTCTCTCTCTCTGTTGCTACCTCTTTCTGTCTCTCTCTCTCTGTTCTCTACCTCTTTCTGTCTCTCTCTCTCTGTTTCTCTCTCTTTAAACTTTTCTCTCTCTCTGTTGCTCTGGTTTTCTGTCTCTCTCTGTTCTGTTTCTATTATTTCTTTCTGTCTGTCTCTCTCTCTGTGCTACTTCTTTCTCTCTGTCTCTCTCTCTGTTCTCTCTTTTCTCTGTCTCTCTCTTGTTCTCCTCTTTTTCTCTCTCTCTCTGTTGCTACCTCTCTGTCTGTCTCTCTCTTTTCTACCTCTTTCTGTCTGTCTCTCTCTCTCTACCTCTTTCTGTCTGTCTCTCTCTCTGTTCTACCTCTTTTTGTCTGTCTCTCTCTGTTTCTTCTACCTCTTCTCTCTCTCTCTCTCTCTCTGTTTGTCTCTCTCTGTTCTCTCTTTTCTGTCTGTCTCTCTCTCCTCTACCTCTTTCTGTCTGTCTCTCTCTGTCTCTCTTTCTTCTCTTGTCTGTCTCTCTCTCTGTCTCTCTCTCTCTCCATCTCTTCTCTCTTTCTCTCTCTTTCTCTCTGTCTCTCTCTCTCTGTTGCTAATTCTGTCTGTCTCTCTCTCTCTGTTGCTAATTCTTTCTGTCGGTCTCTCTCTGTTGCTAATTCTTTCTGTCGGTCTCTCTCTGTTGCTAATTCTTTCTGTCGGTCTCTCTCTGTTGCTAATTCTTTCTGTCGGTCTCTCTCTCTTGCTAATTCTTTCTGTCGGTCTCTCTCTGTTGCTAATTCTTTCTGTTTTTTTCTCTCTCTGTTCTTCTCTTTCTTCTCTCTGTTGCTAATTCTTTTCTTTCGGTCTCTCTCTGTTCTCAAATTCTTTCTGTCTCTCTCTCTCTTTTGCTAATTCTTTCTGTCGGTCTCTCTCTGTTTCTAATTCTTTCTGTCTCTCTCTTTCTCTCTCTTTTGGTTTTCTTCTCTCTCTCTCTAATCTTTTTTTTTGTCTCTCTCTCTGTCTCTAATTGCAAAATTCTAATTCTCTTTCTCTCTCTCTGTTTCTTTTTCTTTGTCTCTCTCTCTGTCTCTAATTTTTTCTGTCTGTCTCTCTCTCTGTTTTTTTTTTTTCTCTCTCTCTCTGTTGTTAATTCTGTCTCTCTCTCTCTCTCTGTTGCTTTTCTGTCTCTCTCTCTCTCTCTCTGTTGCTAATTTCTCTGTTTCTCTCTCTCTGTTCTAATTCTTTTCTTTTCAATCTCTCTGTTCTCTCTCTCTCTCTTGTTCTTCTTTCTTTGTTCTCTCTCTCTCTCTCTTTTTTTCTCTCTCTCTCTCTCTCTCTGTTTCAAAATTCTTTCTCTCGGTTCTCTCTCTCTCTTTTTCTAATTCTTTCTCTCTTTTCTCTCTCTCTGTCTCTTTAATTGAAATCTCTCTCTGTTTCTCTCTTTTTAAATCTCTCTCTCTCTTTTTCTAATTTTTTCTCTCTCTCTCTCTGTTCTCTCTTTGTCTTTCCTCTCTCTCTGTTCTAATTCTTTCTGTCTCTCTCTCTCTCTCTGTTGCTAATTCTTTCTGTCTTCTCTCTCTCTCTGTTGTCTCTCTCTCTTTCTCTCTGTTCTCTCTCTCTCTGTCTCTCTAATTCTCTTCTGTCTGTCTCCTTTCTCTCTCTGTTCTAATTCTTTCTGTCTGTTCCTCTCTCTCTCTGTTGCTAATTCTTTCTGTCTGTTCCTCTCTCTCTCTGTTGCTAATTCTTTCTGTCTGTTCCTCTCTCTCTCTGTTGCTAATTCTTTCTGTCTGTTCCTCTCTCTCTCTGTTGCTAATTCTTTCTGTCTGTTCCTCTCTCTCTCTGTTGCTAATTCTTTCTGTCTGTTCTCTCTCTCTCTCTGTTGCTAATTCTGTCTGTCTGTTCCTCTCTCTCTCTCTGTTGCTAATTCTGTCTGTCTGTTCCTCTCTCTCTCTCTGTTGCTAATTCTGTCTGTCTGTCTCTCTCTCTCTCTTGCTAATTCTTTCTGTCTGTCTCTCTCTTGCTAATTCTTTCTGTCTGTCTCTCTCTTGCTAATTCTTTCTGTCTGTCTCTCTCTTGCTAATTCTTTCTGTCTGTCTCTCTCTTGCTAATTCTTTCTGTCTGTCTCTGTCTCTTGCTAATTCTTTCTGTCTGTCTCTGTCTCTTGCTACCTCTTTCTGTCAGTCTCTCTCTGTTGCTACCTCTTTCTGTCAGTCTCTCTCTGTTGCTACCTCTTTCTGTCTGTCTGTCTCTGTTGCTACCTCTTTCTGTCTGTCTCTCTCTGTTGCTACCTCTTTCTGTCTGTCTGTCTCGCAAGCAAGTAACTTTTGTTTGTAAATAAATTTTGGAATAATTAAATAATCCTAATCCAAAATGTTATCTATTGTAATAATTTCCATGTATTTTGCTACTTCTCCCTCAAAGTGCAATTGACAAAAATATATATATATATATATATATATATATATATATATATATATATAAAATGCTAATCAAATCATTGAGACAAAGATATATAGTTTAAAATGTTAAGAAAAATGTCTTCTAATGTTTTTTTTGTTGATACTGTATTTCTTATCTGAAAAAATAATTGGCATTCCATGAACCTAGTATGTGTTAGTTTATTGGAATACTATTTTTCTTACAATGTGATACCAAACTAATAAATTCAACATGTATACAACCTTTTTTTACTCACTTTTTTTCTCAAAATATTAGAAAATAACATACAAAAATAACATACAAAAATGTTTTTCTTTGGTAAATTGATGGAACTTTTCCAATATTTGCTTTTAGAAATTATGTTTTTATTATTTAATCATTTGTAACTGCTTTTGAAACAGTACTGCTTCTGGATAATATTGTAAAAAGAACAGATTCTCATTTTAAAAATGGTTCAAATCTTTTATGCAAAAATATTTTAAGAGTGCCAACATATTTAAAATATATTTAAAATTTGTACTCCTAAATCAATGATGTCTCTAAAGTCACATTTGCCGGTTAAATTTTATGTTAAACTGAACAGATGATGTTTTAAAACATTCCTGTAAACTTTTGCAGTTATCAGTTTCTGGATTTAAAACAAAAAAACATTCAGAATGAAGACTGTACATTAGCTAATCAAAGTATTGAGTGGGTGCTGAATGTAGAGTTTAAATGAAACAAAATGATGATAATTTTCCCTTTTGGATATATCTAATTTTTTTTTTCTCCCTACTGCTTCTTATTTCCATATTTAATACAGAGTAAGAGATTCAGACATTTTTGCATTCATAGAAAAGCTATTTTATAATCTGATTTTAAAAGAGAAAGAATTGGAATTCTTTTGCGTGCTAGTTAAAAAGGACTGTTGCATTAAAAAAAAAAAAAGCCTGAAGGAAAATTTAAAGATGCCAAAACAATTGCATGACAGAACCACATAAATTCATTTTCATTCCATTCATTGATTTTAGATTGATTTTTTTTTCTTTTTCCATTTAAGAGGAAATGGATATTACTGGAAAAATAAAAGGTAATCTTCATTTGAAAGAGAAAAAAAAACAAAAAAAAACTTCTCCTCCAGGTAATAATAGGTGTTATTAATATGGTTGTATATCTACCAGTGCATTAAACATTCTATGAAGAGCCTTTCCTTTTAACATACTTATCAGGGTCATTCTCTTTTCAGCTTCATTTTCTTGTTTTAAATAATTCAATTTTGTATCTTCTTGGCTGACTTTCTTGGAAAATATTTTTCTTGTGCATCCAACCCAATATGTTTTGGTCTCTTTCATCATCTTAAAAACATTGCACCTTATTCCTTACAATTTATTTAAATGTGCATGTATAGAAGCGGTGATCAGTAAATAGCTGTACAGAAGTATTGATTTCACTTGGCTTCTTAGACGACAAAGCAAGGATCCGGTGGTCCAAGATCAAAGAATCTTTCCTCTCTTTTGTAGTAACAAGCCTAATCTGTCTAGTATTTTTAATGGGGGGCTCTCAACTCAGGTTATCTTGCAAACCAATGCCACAAGTATTGGAAAGAATGTGCAGAACTGTTAGAAGGCATATCTATGAATTTAAGCACAGTACTAGATTGGCATTTAGGTTTCATCATTTTATATTTGTTATTGCAAGATGTAATCATAAGTTCTAATTTTTCTCTTGCACTTCTTGCTTGTGGAACACTTTTTCAGCTTCTTGCTTTCATTCAAATATTTAAAAATCAATGTCAATCATCAACTGTCTATTTGAATCCTTTTTTTTTTTTATCATTTCACCCCAAGCAAGGCAATAAAGCCATTAAGACACAAGGGGTTACTGAATGTTAGAGAATGAGAAAAAAAAAACTCTATTAAGGAGAGAGAACAATAAAAGAATAATAATTAAAACATAAGATAACAGTTGACATTGCATTTAAATTTTTGAAGATCAAACTTGCTGGAAAGCAAGACAGAAGAGTTCCACTAGTGAGAAGTGCGAGAAGAGAAACTGTCAGCACAGAATTTATAGTTACGTCTAACCCTTTCAAGTGTAAAATGATGAGACCTTTCAGCCAATCTAGTACTATGCTGAAATTCGAAAAGTCTAGGTACCAAAAGGAAAAGCTCATCAGAACAATTACTATTAATGTTTTTATAGAAAAGGCACAGGGAATCTACATTACGGTGGTGGGAAATGCCTGTTCAGAACCAATAACATTACAGGTTCTTTAGATTTTTTTTTTTTTTTTTTTCTTTTATCATGCTTTCTACTTAGCTTTTTCTCAGACTCTTTCACTCTCAATAACCCCTTATCATTTGCTCATGGGTGAAAGGATTAAGAAAAAATATCTTTAAGAAACAATATATACGGGCATAACATGAATCTTTTTTAGATGTTTGAATTTCATTATCTTTTCAATGATACAAGGCCAATGGTAGTTGCTTAAGGTCTGAAACTGATAGTCACCATGCAGTTCCCCCTCTATCTATAAACATTCTGTCCATGCAGTTCCCCCTCTATCTATAAACATTCTGTCCATGCAGTTCCCCCTCTATCTATAAACATTCTGTCCATGCAGTTCCCCCTCTATCTATAAACATTCTGTCCATGCAGTTCCCCCTCTATCTATAAACATTCTGTCCATGCAGTTCCCCCTCTATCTATAAACATTCTGTCCATGCATAAACATAAACAGCATATTTTAAACATATATAAAGATCTTATTGAATACTTATCTTTGTCTTCTGGATATTACTGCTGTTTTGTTTATTCTGCTGTTAACTGTTACAAAAAAGCCTCTAACACCCAATTTCTACAGTAAGAACTTCAGTAAGGATTTAATTACATTTGGAGAAATAAAAAAGCTCTTTAACTTAAAACTATGGTTTGAAAATTTCAGTTGCACATACACAGTGAATATTTGAAATCTGACAATCAGAATTACTTTCTTCATCCTAAGTGCATTGCATATCCTACTGCTACCAACTCCCTCTTGTCTTTTATTTTAAACTGATTTATTTATTATGAATTGCATATATTCAAGAAAGAAGTATTAAAACTTTTAAAACTTTTAAAATTGGAAAGAGAACATCCTAAAAATAAACTTTACTTTCTCTTCTGCACACACACACACACACTCTCCCTCCCCACTTCTCTCTTTGATTGAGGAATTGGAGAGCTGAGTTTGAATTCCAGTTGATTTCATTACATTTACTTATGTGCTAATACCCTTGGGAAACATGAATCCATCTCTTGTCCCCACCATCTGTGAGTAAATAGCAGGACAGACTGTGTCATATAGCCTTGGGTGGTGAGCAGTCTAGAAGGAGGACAACTCTGAATTCAAAATCTGTGAATGGTTGTTTGGGGACCTTGTGGCATACTGTGCACCAGTTCTCTGTATTCAGCTCTTCCAAAAAAATGTTTGGTTCTGCACAAACCTTCACCACTATAATCAAATCATATGGGGAAGGAGTAGTCTGGCTGTTGGTTCTAAGAACTGAGCTGCTTGACCCTCATATATTGAAAACAGGAGAGTCCTGTGTGTGTGTGTGTGTATATATATATATATATATATATATATATATATATATATATATATATATATACAAATATTATATATAAAGAATTATATAAATAATTATAAAAAATGCAATGTTAATGTGATTAATGGCGAAATCACTCCGCTAACAAGACTTAATGAGACATTAACTTACTATTAATTCCTTAAATAACAAGAAAATATGTGAATTTATCACTTCTCAAAATTCCTACTTAATTGATTTGAATAAAAATGTTAGCGTTGTGGCATTGCACACTCCAAAACATATATTTAACTGTCAATAAATAGCATATTTAAAAAAAAAAAAAAAAAAACATCTTTCGGTTTACACATATTTCATCTTAGTGTTTGCCTATGTATGGGAAAAAATCTTCCATCCAACAACTCAAATATAAGGATCTTGTTATTCAAGGAATTGATAGTAAGTTAATGTCTTATTAAACCTTTGTTAACAAAGTGCTTTTGCTATTAATCAAACAAATATTGTTAATTCTGTGTATAAATTGTTTCTTTATGATATAAAATATATAGTCCCCAAGTTCTCTTTCCTCATGTGTCCTAGATATTTTGAGTGTTTCTTTATGATTCTAAGTATAAGTCACCCCTTAAAACTTCTTCTTGCTTACATTTTCCACCTAGCATCTTTCTGTAGAGCCACATCTCTGTTGCCTCAAGTTTCCTCTTCATCTTTGATGAAATCCTCCAGTATTCACTGCATCTAGGAGGATTTATATAGCAACACTATTTTTGTTTCTAATGAAATTTTCTTGGTAATCTTAGTTTTTTGGGAGGCATCTTTTACTCTTTGTGTCACATTTTCCAAACTCTTCTCAGATATTTGGACTTCTGTATTTGTTTGACTTTTTTTTTTTTTTTTTTTTTTCATCTAATATTGTACTGTGCTTAAAGATAAAGGTGTCAGCTTGAGCAAATTCTTACTGGCAATATGTGAAGCAGAACACCTACCAATTTATTGGTCACTATACCAAATACCAACAGTGTACTCTTTGGTCATTATTTAAGTTTGCCACTTTCTCTGCTGCTGATTTTTGTTGGCTTGATTCAATTTGGTTATTCTTTATTTTGATGTGCACAGGATTGTCCTTTCTTCCAGCATTTAGTTGTTGCTATTGCATTGAGCTACAGTTTTCTTACCACTGAGGTTAAGACTATTATTGAATTGTTGGGATTTTATGGCTTTTGGTGTTTGATGTAAAAATGCTTTAATGAAGGGAAGCAATGTTGTTTTGTTTTATTTTTCTTGTTTTTTTTTTTTTTTTTTTTTTTTTTTTTTTTTTTTTTTTTTTTTTTTTTTTTTTTTTTTTTTTTTTTTTTTTGTTTTTTTTTTTTTTTTTTTTTTTTTTTTTTGTTTTTTTTTTTTTTTTTTGTTTTGTTTTTGTTTTTTTTTTTTGTTTTTTTTTTTTTTTTTTTTTTTTTTTTTTTTTTTTTTTGTTTTTGTTTTTTTTTTTTTTTTTTTTTTTTTGTTTTCTTTTTTTTTTTTTTTTTTTTTTTTTTTTTTTCTTTTGTTTTGTTTTTTTTTTTCTTTTGTTTTTTTTTTTTTTTCTTTTGTTTTTTTTTTTTTTTTTTTTTTTTTTTTGTTTTTTTTTTTTTTTTTTTTTTTTTTTTTTTTTTTATTTTGTTTTTTTTTTTTTTTATTTTGTTTTTTTTTTTTTTTTTTTTTTTTTTTTTTTTTTTTTTTTTTTTTTTTTTTTTTTTTTTTTTTTTCTTTTTTTTTTTTTTTTTGTTTTTGTTTTTTTTTTTCTTTTTTTTTTGTTTTTTTTTTTTTTTTCTTTTGTTTTTGTTTTTGTTTTTTTTTTTTTTTTTTTTTTTTTTTTCTTGGTTGGTTTGGTTTTTTTGTTTTTTTTCTTGGTTGGTTTGGTTTTTTGGTTTTTTTTTTTTTTTTCTTGGTTGGTTTGTTTTTCTTGGTTGGTTGGTTTGTTTTTTGTTCTTTAGTTTGTTTTTTTTTTTTTTTTTTCTTCCTTGGTTTTTTTTTTTTTTTTTTGTTTTTTTTTTTGTTTTTTTTTTTCTTTGTTTTTTCTTTCTTTCTTAGGTTTGTTTGGGTTTTTTTTGTTTTCTTCTTTGTTTTTGTTTTTTTTCTTTTGTATTTTTGGGTTTTTGTTTTCTTTTTTTTGTTTTTTTTTTTTTTTGGGGGTTGTTTTTCTTTTTTTCTTGTTTGTCTTTCTTTTCTTGTTTTCTTGTTAACTTGAATAACTTAACATTTTTTGCTGCTGCATTGTTATAGCATTGTTGCCTGGCTGTGCCGATCCATTTTGGAGAAAAATAGGAAATTGTCATTTATTGGAAATTATATAAGAATGTTGATGTCAATTACTCATGGACACTGCCACTTTTTTTAATTGCATACTCTGCAGTACTGACGAAAGCTAAATTACGTGTGTTGTGTATATATATATATATATATATATATATATATTCACCCCTGTACTAAATAAACCATGTATATTTGTGCATTTTGGTACATTTTCCTTGAAGGGAAATAGTTTTGAGTTATTTTCTTTGCACTGGTGACTCCAGGTGGAAGTGTTTTTGCATCACTGATGAATTGTCCCAAGATGCTTACAAGGTTGGAAGGTGAAAACCAACTATTTCAGAGTTGGGTACACTAATAATAATTCTATAAAATATATATATATATATATATATATATATATATATATATAAAAATTCAACATATGAAAACTTTTTATGAAGGAGAACTGAAAAGTTCTCAGTCAGACCCCCTTCTCAAAATCTGAACAAATAAAGAAATACAAGATCACTTTCTTTTCAGGGCATATTGGTTGGGCTTAGAACATTTCAGCACCCTCTTTTGTAATAAGAGTAAGACTAAATAATGTTTTATATATATATATATATATATGTGTGTGTGTGTGTCCTATCATTTTTGGCAATATGAGTAAACTAATGTATACATAGGCAATCATAAATTTATAGTGTGTTGGTTGCCTATTTATACACAAGGGTTGGGTATACATACGTGCATATATTCTTTATTTTAAGAAGCTTTTAGGGTTTGTTTAACTTGTTTTCTTTCCTGCTGGCTAAAATTTGAAAACCAATTTTCTAACATCCTGGCAGGTTAGGGTTAATAGGAAACACATTGTATTTTACCAGAGGTTGTTTTGAAAGTATTCATATGTCATCTTACAGTGTATATGTGTGCAGGCAATTACTGTTAAAAGTTTTATCTAAAAGATTCATCATTTTAAGGCTTTTAGATGATTGTAGAAAATAATTCTTTTGTTTGGAATTTTTCTCTTTAATTCAGTAATGGACACAATGGCAACTTTCAACTTAATTTCAAAATTAAAAATTAATGGAAGAGAATATTTCTTAAATTATTCATGTATAACTTTCATGATAAATGATATTGGGTTTGGGGAATTTGTACAGGCAAATAGACCTAAAATGTACTTTAATATCTGTGTATATTTTATGATTCAATGGAATTTTAAGCATGGGCAAAATGCATATACATATATGAATACATTTGTTAATTCTCAACTGAAATGTTGAGTTGCAAAAATGCTTTTGCTGGTCAGATAATTAAATATCAGCATACATTTTTTTGTTTTTGTTTCAATTATTGAATTTCAAGATTTTCAATTTTTTTGTTTTTTACATTCCCAATCAATTGTTTGATTTTCTTTTTTTTCTTTTTTTTCTCAATATAGTTGCATTTTCTGTTTTTTTTCTTCCCTTCAAGAACTTACTTTTCTTTTTTATTTAGATTTTCCATATATATATATATATATATATATATATATATATATATATGAGAGCATCAAATGGTGAGGAACTACATATATATATATAATGTATACACTCACAATTGTCATAGGCATGTAATTGCACAATAATGTAAAATATAAAATGTCTCTCTCTCTCTCTATATATATATATATATATATATATATATATATATATATATTCTGTTTCATGAATATTCTTTCTTCACTTTAGCCAATTAACATTTTTGCTGCATCCTCCTCTATGCCCCCATAACAACCTCA